GGGGGGCTGAAGCTCAGGTCCCCCCCGTGTCCCCGTCGTCGTCCCCCCCTCCCCTCCCCGTCCCCGGTGGGGTGAAAAGGGGGTATCTAGGAAACAGCCAGCGGCCCCCAAAAAGGCGGAATTTCCAACGTGTAAAAATGTTCTTAACGGAGCCATTGAGAGAGTGCAATAAGGCGTGAGGGGGAACTAATCTCCCCATTTAAATGTTTGTGGCAATTTTATCTAAATGAATTTTAATGCTAAACGGAGGGATAATTCCCTATTTGTAACCCGTTTACTTCTCTTTCCTGCGCCTCTTGAAGCCGCCTAACATCGGGGGCGATGAACAATAACAATAAAAATACTGTCGAGGCATATTCTTCGTTCGGAATGTGTTATAATTACAGCTGATTAAATGTCTCGGGGTGTAATAGCGGGTTTAATTTGAAATCCCCCACCCCACCCCTCCAAAAAAAAATAAAAAATATATATTTTTATGGAAGAAGGTCTGTGCCCCACTTCTCTAAGGGACGCGTGTGCCCTCGCAGGCGAGAGGGCGGTTTGGTTTTGTCTTCTCGAGAAACGTGAAAAAAAAAACCAAGAGTTAAAAAACCCCCCCCAAACTCAAGAGTTAATAACCCCCCCCCAAACTCAAGAGTTAATAACCCCCCCCCAAACTCAAGAGTTAATAACCCCCCCCCAAACTCAAGAGTTAATAACCCCCCCCCAAACTCAAGAGTTAATAACCCCCCCCCAAACTCAAGAGTTAATAACCCCCCCCCAAACTCAAGAGTTAAAAAAAAAAAAAAAGGAAAAAAAGGGGGGGAAAAGAAAACTCAAGAGTTAAAAAAACCCCCCCAAACTCAAGAGTTAATAAAAAAAAAGAAGAAAACTCAAGAGTTAAAAAAAAAAAGAAGAAGAAAATTCAAGAGTTTAAAAAAAAAAGAAAACTCAGGAGTTAGGAAAAAAAAAGAAAACTCACTAGTTAGCCAAAAAAAAAAAGAAAAACCAAGAGTTAGGAAAAAAACCCCTCAAGAGTTAAAAAAAAACCTTCAAGAGGTAGCAAAAACAAAAAAAAAAAGGAGGGGGGGAGGAGATCCAAGCTGTTGGGATAGAGGACCCCCACTTCAGTGGCTTGCGTAATTCGGAAAGGCCCTGCCTGCATCCCTGCCTGCATCCCTGCCTGCGTCCTGCCCAGCCCCACCTGCCCCCTTGCCCTCCCAGGGGGACCCCGGACCGGGGGAAGACATCGCATCCCCGGGATGGGGAGTAGCATCGTTTTGCCTTAATGAAAAGATTTGTGTATTTTTTCCTGCCCCTGGGGGAAATTTTATTTTCCTGTCTCTCTCTCTATATCTCTATCTCGCCGCGATTTGATATGGAGCAAAGGAGAAGGTATCGCAGCCTGCCCAGGCTGTTGGGTGGTATTTAACTCACTGGCCGCGGTGCAGAAAAGTACAGCTGTGGGAGGAAATTGGTTAATGAGGAGAGGAGGGCCTGCGCCAGCCTCCGCGCGCACCGCCACCTTACAAAACACGGCCGGCGTTTTCCCAATTTTCTCTCCCTCCTTCCCGAAAACGGTCGATTCCGGAAAGAAACTTAAGACGGCAGTGGCTGAAGTAATTTAAATTGGGTATTAGAATTGTCATCTGGGGGGTGGGGGGGGTGGTGGTTCATCTTTACGCAGCGCGGCGTTACTTTGGCCTTCTTTAAATACGAAGCCAATACTTAAACGGCGAATTACAGGTACATCCCCAGAGCCAGTTGAATTTTGTAGCCGCTCGGCTCCCGGTTCGGGGATAGAATGGCCACAAATACTGAAGGAGGGGGCATGTGTATTGGGGGGGAGGCAGGAAACAAATTTTGGAAGCAGTGGAGTCACCATGACAAAAAATAATTTGTTTTTATTTTAGATTCAGATTTCATTACTGCACTCAAACTACTACAACTGGGCTTTGAGTTATTATACAATCCAAACTGTTTCAATCAGAAACTCTAAGACTCAGTGTGCAATGATTATTATTAATAATAATTAGCTCCTTGGTTTCTTGATAGAAAAAGGCTATCAACAAGCATTTGTTTTAACCACAACAAAAGTATAATTAGCTTATCCCACTTAGTAAATCTGTTTGCATGCCAACTCATACCAAACTGCTACTTTTACAAAAAATTGCAATAATACAGATCATTTTTCCAGTCCTTTTTGCACAAAATTTATTTACAATGTATACATAAATGCTCCATGATGGGACTACGGGGGAAGAAGAAGGGGAACGGGGGGGGGGAGAAATAAAAAAAATGCACACATGACCGATGTCTCGCCCAGAAAGAAAGTCAACATATTAAAAATAAATCTTCAGTCCACGTTTCGAGCTGCGTAAAACAGGAAGTGATGTACACGGTGGTGGTTGCTGCATGGGGACAAGGATGCTCCGATGTGACAATTAGGCTTCAAATACACTGCCTTTCCGTTTCCATGCTTCCTCCTACCAGTCTCCTTAAGCCACTGCCTGCAACAGCTGATTAATCATTGTTGATGACTGCAGTTTTTCCCATCCTTCCCGATTTACATCTGTTCAGGCCAATTCAAATATGGTGAGTAAATGAATTAGACATGCAAATTCACGCCCCAGGCTAGAAAGAGAGAGAGAGAGAGAGAGAGAGAGAGGGAGAGAGATGGGGAGAAAGGGAGAGAAAGGGAAGAAAGACAGAGAGAGAGAGAGAGAGAGAGAGAGAAGAGGAGGAGAAAGGAGAGAGAGAGTGTGCATGGCTGAAATCCTAGGATAGAAGAAAGATTCTTCTGCCTGACATAGTTATTTTAATGCTCTAAAAATCCTGCAAATAAGCCCTTTCTGTCATTTGCAGGGTAAGTGTAAGGCTTCTTTTTTTTTCTTTTTTTTTTTTTTTCTTTTTTTTCTTTTTTTTCTCTCGAATGTAAGGAGGCTTCTGGAGGAAGTGAAGAGCTATGGAAACAACACACATAGTGTGGAAAAATTTCACATTTTTTTTAAAAAATCTATAAGAAACAACGTAATATGGATAACAGTATAATAGCATTTTACAATATTTCACTCTTTGTTCTCTCAATGTCTTATATAGGTATTTAGCATGTCCCCAGAAGTTGACTTCGGTTGGTGTTTTCCTGCTTTTCAGGGTCCCTGTGAAGACTCGGAACGTCCCTTGGTCCAAAGTTGACGCCAAGAACTCCATAGTCATTGCAGAAAGACAATGTTTGAAATCTACCGTCGCTGCAGACAACGCGGATTATCCCTTAAGCTACTGAGCATGAATGTCCATCACTTGTCCGCTCACTGCCGGCTCGCCGGTATGAAGCATTGTGGGGCTTGATGCTGACATGGGCATTCCAGGGTGGGGTGGTCCTCCATGCATCATCATCGCTGGGTGGTGAGGGTGTCCAGGAATGTAGGTATGCATGGGGGGGCCATGACGCAGCTGAGCGGGATGGGGGGGCATCTGGGGTGGGGTATAGCTTGGCTGTCCCATGTTCATACCCATTGGACTACCCCGAGACACATAATCCCCTGGCATACTTTGCAGCCCTGCGGAGAGAAAGAGGGTGGCGGTGAGTCCAAGCCTACGTACGGCCTCGCAACGATGGCCAACGGGAAGGATCGCCAGGTCAACCAAACAAAACCCAACCCGAGAACATCCTCCCCCCTCCAAATGCAGTTTTGGGTGACAAAACCACTCTTCTGCGATGGAGATGCTTCCGCCCCGCCAGCACGCCGGAGGCAGAGCCGGCCTGCCGACGGCGAACCTCACGCAGGGTTGGTGGCACCATGCCGGGGAAGCCCTCCGGTGGGTTCCATCATCTCCCGTGGCCTTGCTCCAGCTCCCCCCCCCGCCTTGGTCTCCCCGCTTGTGGGAGCGTGCTGGGAACACAAGGCGGGGAAGCAGTAGTTAAGGAAGGAGGAGAGATGGGTTAAGTCGGTGTCGAGGTTTATCAACAGTTATTTATTTAGCTCTGGAGCCCCATCGCTTGGAATCCCTCCCAAATATTCGCGCCCGTCAGACAGACGCTACGCAGCGAGCGCGTACGTCGCTGAACAAAGGCCTCGTACCGAGCCGAAATTGATAGGAGTGCTCAGGACGATTGTTAAATCAAGCCTGCATTTTTAAACGTATTAAAAAAATAATAAATATATATATAATCAATAACAGTTATCAATGAACGCCTTTCCCTCTGCTCACTTCTGCCCGGAAAAAAAAAAAAAAAATCAGCCGCGCGACTCAGTCAACCTTTCAGTGGGTTCAGGAGAACAATGAGGGGGGGGGAGAGAAAAAAAATTGGACCTAAAACAATAAAACCTCCCGCTTTCCGTGGGCCTCTGCCTTCTGCTTGGATTGCTGGAGCTGATGGGAACTGACAGGTGTATTGTTTCGGCGAGCTATAAGCTCCATAATCATCAAGGGTGAAAGGCATACGCTATTGCTAAGTAGGTTCAATTGGCTTTAGTTCTAAGTAAGAGGCGCGCTGTGAATGCGCCGAACACCTTGGAATCAGGTCTCAAGGCTCGAGCAATGAATAGCTGCTTAATCTAGCCTAAAGGAACAGTTTTGAACTAATGAAAATTGCTTATAAAATATACTGTACTCACAGCTCTTTAATCAAAAAAAAAAAAAAAAGAAAAGAAAAGATGATAATATTTTTTGTAATAACCTATTAATTTAATTGGTCACGAAGCATAAAATACATCATTTAAATTTAATTGACCCAGAAACTAAGAAACAATATTTAAATTAACTAAGCTAGAAATTTCCATGATGAGGTAATAAGGCTGTTGCATTCCCAAGCTCGGAGGAATGTTTTCACAGCTAATTGTTCAAACTTGGGGTTTTTGACTCGCGCCCAGAGAAGACGACTACGAAAGGCACTTGGCCTGGGTAACTTCAAACCCCTGCGTTCGTACAGGCAACAAAGATGCTGAAATCACTGCTTCTAACTCCAGAAAGAGAGCGGGAGGAACAGAATCGGGCGCCGTTTCAACACGGTACCGGTGCCTCAGCGTTTCAAACCGCTTTACTCCTTATTTTAAAAAAAAACAAACAAACCCAAACAAACGAAAATTTGTATGATGTATTTTCCCCTATAAAAAGACAAGAGGGGGGAGAAAGGAAAAAAAACCTGGGACAGTTTTTCTAGGCTTTCTTCGCGAGGCCTGCCACTGAAGATTGCATTAATGATCTCTATTTTTGTATACTGAATAAGTCAAATCCATTTGTCACACTGCAAGTGATGGCATACTTAATTTGGATATAGTCAATTAGCCTGGGCTAAGCTCCATAGCCTGCTGCGCACACCTCTATTTTGTATTCTCTCTTTTTCCTTTGCCACACGTAATCCCATTATGACGGACAGACAAAGAGAAATAAACTTGGGGGGAAAATAAAAAAAAAAAATGAAGAAAAAAAAATCAAAATCAAAGTTTCGCCCATCGCCTTCTAGAACGCAACTAAGTGCGGCCGCTGGGGGTTTTTTTTTTGGTTTGTTGTTTGTTTGTTTTTTGTGTGTTTTTTTTTTTTTTTTACCTATGAGAAGTCTCCGTTTGGCTTTTTTTTGGTGTCTCGCAGGTTAGCGGGAGAAATGTAACTCATGCATCAACTGCGGTTAGACAGATTTATGACACTTTGGGGACATGCTCTTTCCTCTCCCTGCGCTGCTGCAGACCGCTTACATTTTGCAAATCAGTCTGTTGCCAAGACGACGGGCTCCCCCACCTCCCCGGCTGCTTCTTGTT